ATAGTAGATATTAGATATTACATAGTCCCTAACATTGAAGGTTCAGCTAGTTCAATGATCACTGTCCTTGTACCATCTTGTGTAGCTGACCACAGCCTATACTCTAGCAATTACATAACAATAGTCAGGCCATTGCATGAGAAGTGGTTTGGAGCTGTAGGGCAGATTTGTATGAAGAGAATAAAAATTAGCTTGCAAAAGTACAATTGAATTGCTTCAAAATTAGGCCAAAACGATAGGCTGTAATACATGGTACTTTGTTAAAAAATACTCCAAAAGAATTCATTCCCTACCTATAGTGGCTATGCAAACCAATAAGTAATCTATGACCCAAAATAAAAGGAGCTCCAGCTTGAATCATAAAATAGCTATTTCACAACAAATACTTATAGACCTACATGAAAAATTTATGACCTGCTATACTTTCAATTTTGTGTAATCAAGGGACAATCAATGCTAAATTATATTTAAAAATAAATGTGATCTACAAGATTAACCATGTTGCTTAGACATTTGCTGTATAGATTTTTTGGTTTAATTTTTTTCACCTTATACTGATACTCTTATTTTTATTTATTTTTTTCATAGTTCCTTGGGGGCTTTGCTAGTCAATGGTCCTTACTCCTCTCATGTCTTCCGATACAATCCATTTTTTAATAATTTAAACTATTCAAGGTATGATGATGAATTTCACTCAACATGTTGCACCAGGACTCAGAACTGTGAGCTATTTAGAGAACGACGACCAGTCAAGACATGCACTGGCTATGTACCACCAAGGCAAAGTGAGTTATTGTATTTCTGATAGTTGACTACATATTGATGCAATACATGTACATAAATCTAAATGGTAATTTGGAGGATCAAAATTTTAACAAATTTTGTGATTTGATAATCACTTTTCAAAGTAAAGGCTTGCTTACAATATTGCGATAGGCTTGACGTTACATTATATGTTGACACTGGAATAGGATTTGGTTCTATTCAGACTATTCTAGGGGAAAGCATGCGTCAAAAGGTCAAATCACCCACACTTTTGATTAAAAATTGACGGTACACTGGCCTAGCATCATATTGTATACCTGCCACTTTAAACTGGCTATGTGAACCAATTAAGGCACATGGCCTTAAATTCTAAAAAGTAAAACTCACTAATTACTAAAATTTAGCACTTTGTCAAATTTTACTGCTCTAATATTACTACCTATCCAGTATTTATGATAATTTATTGTGAAAATACCTCTAGTGTTCTCCACAGAATTTGGTGTTTTGCATCAACTTTGAGCTGGTTCTAATTAAAATAGATTATTTGTGAATTTTTAAAAGTTGTTCAAAAGTTGAGCCAATGTCTAATTAGTCAAAAATAATTATTTTGGATACATACACATGGTCTTACCTTGTATATCAAATTTGAGCTAATTCTAATTAAATTTGGGGATTTTTTGTATTTCAAAATGCCATGTATTGTATTATAGTGCCTTATACCTGATGAAGCATGCTGTTTAGCTATTTAAGCATGCTTTGTGGGAAACCCTGAATGGTGCCGATGTCCAAAAGTTGTACTTTATTGTCATTAAATTTAGCATTTTAATAGAGCTGTTGCATGGAAGTAATCAATGGGAGGGTGTGGCTAAAATTTAGCTAAATTGCCTGCCATATTGGGTGGCAAGAAGGCCAAGAGTTTACATGGGGGAATGGGGGGAATAGAGAAAAAAATCTGAATAAATTCTACAGTTGATATTTCAGGCTAATGCAAAGTAAGAGATGAAGATATTGACTGAAGAACTTCTATAGTATTCTGCAGTGAAGTATTTTTCAAGTTACAGCCATTTTAAGAAAGTGCCAAAAATTTGAAAAATACCCAAGGCTATAGCCCAAGGTTTTTTTCAAAAAATGGCCTCAAAATTACCCCGAATTTTTATTACATTTTTTGATACACATTGATGTTCTTATGCTGTGTAGAAAGTTTGAGCTGATTCTGACTTTAATTTTTCAAGTTACGGCCATTTTAATAAAATGCCAAAAATTTGAAAAATACCCAAGGCTATAGCCCAAGGTTTTTTCCAAAAAATGGCTCCGAAATCACCCCAAATTTTTATTACATTTTCTGATACATATTAATGTCCTTATACTGTGTAGAAAGTTTGAGCTGATTCCGACTTTAATTTTTCAAGTCCCGGCCATTTTAAGAAAGTGCCAAAATTTGAAAAATACCCAAGGCTATAGCCCATGATTTTTCTCAAAAAATAGCTTCGAAATCACCCCAAATTTTTATTACATTTTCTGATACATATTAATGTCTTTATGCTGTGTAGAAAGTTTGAGCTGATTCCGACTTTAAATTTTCAAGTTACAGCCATTTTAAGAAAGTGCAAAAAATTTGAAAAATAGCCCAAGGTTTTTTCCAAAAAATGGCTTCGAAATCACCCCAAATTTTATTACATTTTCTGATACATATTATTGTCCTTATGCTGTGTAGAAAGTTTGAGCTGATTCCGACTTTAATTTTTCAAGTCCCGGCCATTTTAAGAAAGTGCCAAAATTTGAAAAATACCCAAGGCTATAGCCCATGATTTTTCTCAAAAAATAGCTTCGAAATCACCCCAAATTTTTATTACATTTTCTGATACATATTAATGTCCTTATGCTGTGTAGAAAGTTTGAGCTGATTCCGACTTTAAATTTTCAAGTTACAGCCATTTTAAGAAAGTGCAAAAAATTTGAAAAATAGCCCAAGGTTTTTTCCAAAAAATGGCTCCGAAATCACCCCAAATTTTATTACATTTTCTGATACATATTATTGTCCTTATGCTGTGTAGAAAGTTTGAGCTGATTCCGACTTTAATTTTTCAAGTCCCGGCCATTTTAAGAAAGTGCCAAAATTTGAAAAATACCCTAGGCTATAGCCTTGGGTATTTTTTTATAGCCTTGGGTATTTTTTTATCCTAAGGTTTTTCCCAAAAAATGGCTCCGAAATCACCCCAAATTTTTATTACATTTTCTGATACGTATTAATGTCCTTATGCTGTGTAGAAAGTTTGAGCTGATTCTGACTTTAATTTTTCAAGTCAAAGCCATTTTAAGAAAGTGCCAAAATTTGAAAATTACCCAAGGCTATAGCCCATGATTTTTCTCAAAAAAATGGCTCCGAAATCACCCCAAATTTTTATTACATTTTCTGATACATATTATTGTCCTTATGCTGTGTAGAAAGTTTGAGCTGATTCCGATTTTAATTTTTCAAGTCACGGCCATTTTAAGAAAGTGCCAAAATTTGAAAAATACCCAAGGCTATAGCCTTGGGTATTTTTTTATCCCAAGGTTTTTTCCAAAAAATGGCTCCGAAATCACCCCAAATTTTTATTACATTTTCTGATACATATTAATGTCCTTATGCTGTGTAGAAAGTTTGAGCTGATTCTGACTTTAATTTTTCAAGTCACAGCCATTTTAAAAAAGTGCCAAAATTTGAAAATTACCCAAGGCTATAGCCCATGATTTTTCTCAAAAAATGGCTCCGAAATCACCCCAAATTTTTATTACATTTTCTGATACATATTATTGTCCTTATGCTGTGTAGAAAGTTTGAGCTGATTCCAACTTTAAATTTTCAAGTTACAGCCATTTTAAGAAAGTGCCAAAAATTTGAAAAATACCCAAGGCTATAGCCCATGGTTTTTTCCAAAATATGGCTCCAAAATCACCCCAAATTTTAATTACATTTTCTGATATATATTGATGTCCTTATGCTTTTTAAGCTGATCTCAAATTTCATAAGAATATTTTAAACAAAATCTCCAAAGGTCTATTATATTTTACTTGTAGAAGTGGTAAAATGGAATTGGTTTCTCTTTTTATAAAATGAGTTTGATTTGGTTCCTGTTCAAGCTAGGAGACATTGATGGTGCCAAATTATGCCCAGTCTATTGCTCAGTTTTTGAGGCTAGAATTGCTTAGTCAGAATTAGTTTTTGAATTTGTTAAAGAGCCAGAAAGAACATAGCAATAGTACTAGCAGCTATGAAACACCTCGTTCTTCATTTTTATCTTTTTAAACTACAATACCATGCAATTGATTTAATTGTTAATTTTGTTTGGTTTAGTTGTTTTTGTTCAATTCTTTTGTATGTTACCAATTCATCACATCACTACTAGATCTACTCCTTTACTTCTAGATACCGGTATACAAGCACATTATATTGTTGCCATTCTTCAATATATTAGCACTATAACATCAAATTCCTCTCTCATTTAACTTTAATACCTTCAAGAATAATGAATATTTCTATAAAATAATAATTAGGTAATTTTTTCCATTTATGCAGCAATTTTTTTTAAGATCATGTTTTTGACAGTAAAGTAATGCCCAGTATTATTATTTCTGCTCCACTTTTTTGGAATATACAATGTAGCTTTTACACATAATGACTTGTCCTAGGAGTTTTTGCATAATGAAAAGACACAACAAAAGATTATGGATAATACAGTGGGAATGGTGTACTCAATGGTACCATATGAAATGTGTAAATGTAACTATAAGAAACAATCTGAGAATTTTGACAAAAATAAGTGTGCACATAGAACTTGCAAAAAATCATACCAACAAATTAATGGCAAATATGATCAAATTTGTGAACTTTAATACCAACAAAATAACAGTTCCTCAGTATGGATGATCACATCGAACCAAGCACTGCAAACAATAGATAACCACAGTTAACTATAAATAACCACAGATAACCATAGATAACCACATTTAACCAGTAACCACAGATAACCATAGATAACCACAGTTAACCATAGATAACCACACTTAACCACAGATAACCATAAATAACCACAGTTAACCATAGATAACCACAGATAACCACAGCTAACCATCAGTAACCACTGATAACCACAGTTAACCATAGATAATCACAGTTAACCATAGATAACCACAGTTAACATAGATAACTCGATATAACCAAAGCTAATTACAGGTAACCTAGATAGCCACATGCAGATGATGCAGGTAAATGCCACCACAAGACAGCTAAATAAACTCAAACAAAGCACAGGGCAAGCCATGTCATTGGTTCTGCACCACTAATGTACATAACCGTTTGATTGCATCTGTGCAACAGCTCTATTATTGTCATAAAATTCTTTTGTATCTATCTTAGCCTTGGTCTGGGGTGATCCTCACATTAATACTCTTGATGATGCCACATATACTTTCAATGGACTTGGGGAATATGTTCTGTTGCGTACTATTAATGCTGATTTTGAAATACAAGCACGTACTAAACTTGCCACACCCAACACAACTGCTACAGTATTCAGTGCTGTTGCTTTGACTAGTGACAAGGACAGGACTGAAGTAGTTGAGGTAAGAGAGTAAAATAGCATGATTTATTATAATTTTTTAATTAGATACAAGTTGATAATGACAAAAATCAAAATTTAATTATCCTCTATAATGGTAATGATGTGAGTGCTAATCTCTCCGCTGTTAATGACACACTGGACTATAATACTGTGTCACTAGCAAGAGAAACACAAGATGTAATATCTGTTGCATTGTCAAGTGGTGTATCCCTCAATGCCACCTTGAGATTAGGCATCCTTTCATTCACAATGGTAGTACCAGAAACATACATGAAAAAAACAATGGGACTTCAAGGAAACTTTGATGGAGACAAAACTAATGATTTTGTTAATAGAGAAGGAAACATGATTCCATACAACTCATCTGATGCTGATATATACCATAATTTTGGACAAACATGTATGTAATTAATTGTTGCTGAAAAATGAAAGATTTTGTTAAAAATTTATGTACCAGTATACTATTTCATTGGAACATAATTATTATACTTATTTTTATAGGGCAAATTCAAAGTGATCAAGAAAGCCTGTTCACTTATGCTCCTGAAAGGACATATGCAAGTTACTCCAATCCAAACCATGTTCCAGTATTTCTTGATCAAATTGATCCTGAAACTAGAGCAGAAGCTGAGAGAATATGTGGAGGGTCTAATAAGATTGAGTGTATTTTTGATTACAGTCAAACAAAGAATGAAGAATTAGCATTAGACACTCAGACAACAATGGAACAAAATGAACTGAACAAGCGAATAGGAAGTGAGTAGATAGCAAAATTTACTTGTATCAGTTACTACAATTTCTTTTCTTTAGATAACTTACCTCCAGTAATTGAAGCTAGTGATAATTTCATGCTAACAGTAGGAGAAACTGCACTATACACAATAAATATCACAGACCCTGGAGACACTATCAGTGTTACTATTGATGGAGAGTTTCCATACACACTTGATCAAGATGGATCATTATGGACACTTAATGTAATCCATTCTTCTCTTTTTGAATTCTCATTTACTGTGATAGCAAGTGACTCATTCAATGCAACATCAGTAATAACTCCTCAAGTATGTATTTTCAAGTTACTATAGCACAGTGTATTTGTTCTTCAAGTATACAATTACTAGTATTATTGTATAGGTGAGAATTTGTGGTTGTCATACAGATAGAGGTAGCTGTACTGTTGAAGGTGTACAGAATGCTTCCAGTAACCCATTGATTTTAATATGCGATTGTATTGAAGGTACAGGAAATTTTAATTAATGATTAATGGCTTATATTGTATAAACTACATGTAGCATAATTTGTGCAAGCCATAAGGCCACTCCAATTCAGGGTTTCCCACAAAAGCAAACTTTATGAGCTGACAAGCATTATATATATATACAGTACATGTAGGTACCCATACATGGCTTTGGGGCAACTTGAAATTAAAATTCACAAAAAATCAGTTTTGTATACGTAGTACATTGTATCAGAAAAGTTATAAAAGTAGAAAATTCTCTCCTAGTTTTTTTTACCTAAATTTGGCCAAAGACCCTTACTTTAAAAGTACAGAGATTTTGACCCAAGCTACTTTAAAATTTATAATAAACCAGTTTTCATTGGAATCAGCTCAATGTTAAAATAAAATACAAGTAAAATATGTACATGTACATGCATTACAAAACTTATTGAAGTGGAGAACTTTTTCTTGTCATTTTTGGTAAAATTTAGCCAAAGACTTTGTACATAGTATGTAACAAGACTTTGCTACACAACATAAGAACATTTACATGGATGTAGAAAATTTCAAAAGTGGAGGATTCTTTTTAGCCTAATTTTTGATGAACTTTAAACTTCACTGACAAGAATGCTCATGGGCATTAGCCAGAATTCTGTGGGAAGCCCTGATTCCTTCTTTTATGGGCAGGGCTGAACCGCTTTATTAATATAAATTGAAATTCTTGATATTGCAATATAAATTGATGTACTTGTTATTTACCAGTGAGGGCAAACAATGAGTCTAATTGGAGTGGCCTAATTGCTTTTGTTTTATTTCGTAGCATACAATGGAAAGTACTGTGAGGATGATTTTGATGGTTGTATTGAAGTATCATGCTTCAATGATGCACCATGTACTGATGTACCAGCACCTGGAACTGGTGCCACTTGCCCACCTTGTCCTAGTGGATACACTGGAAATGGATTAATATGTGATGGTGAGTAGAGCCATTTTTCTGGGTTATTGTTTCGTTATAATATTTATACATAATCAGATATTGATGAATGCAATTCAACTAGTACCAGCAATTGTTCTCATTTCTGTAACAATACTATTGGTAGTTATCAGTGTACATGTATGTCTGGATATGAGCTTCATAGTGATGGGAGATCATGCAATGGTAAATATAAATATGAATAAATTAACCTTTTAACTAAATGTGATAGAAATTAATGAATGTAAAAGGCTACTTGATAATTGCCAGCAAGAATGCATGAATACTGATGGATCCTTCAGTTGTAGTTGTTATGATGGGTTCTTACTACAAGATGATGGTCGTAGTTGTCATAGTAAGCTAGTACTTTAAAGTTTCGTCCTATTTTTGTCTTCAATTAATTTTTTAATAGATGATCCTAACAGAGAATGTTTGCATGATAGCGTGTGTGAGCAGTTTTGTGTTTATGATAATTACACTAAGACTGAAAATTGTTCCTGTCAAAGTGGGTATGATTTATCATCTAACATGGCAAACTGCACAGGTAAAAATAAAAATAATTACAACTTATGATCTGTTTATTCAGATATTGATGAGTGCTCAGAGAGCTAATCCTTGTACTCAGATTTGTATCAACACCATAGGAAGCTTTGAGTGTAACTGCTCAGATGGATTTCAACTCCAGTCTGATGGGTTTACTTGTACAGGTAAACTCAGATTGGCAACAGTGCCATTAAATACTCTATTAATGTTTTTATTAGATATTGATGAGTGTCTAGTGCTAGGCTCTTGTCAAGAGCCTAGGATAAGATGTGTGAATAGTCCTGGAAGTTTTGACTGCTTCTGTCCACTAGGAACAGTCTTTCAGGATGGATCATGTAAAGGTAACTGTTAGTCTTAATTACACTTCCATTTTATGAATTACTTAGTTTTTTTGGAACCCATTCCTTCCTCATTTGCAAGCTCAAAATCCTCTGCATATTTTTCATCAACTGTTAATTCATCTCCTGTTATGTCTACATATTTTGGCAGTTTTACAAATTCACCTTCTTCCTCACTGGCAGTTTCCTCACCATCAGTTACTCCTACTCCCTCACTTCCAGAAAATTCAGGAGTGATTGTTGTTTTAAGTGGAACTGACAAAAGCAATGTATGTAGCATATTAAAAGTCTTTGTTACATTTATACTTTTGTTTAGTTTGATATTGAGAGTTTTAAAAATGTAACTGCAGAAGCTTTGAATGATTATTGTATTACCAATGACTGTACTAGTGTTTCTTCTGAAAAGAGAAAAAGGTAAACCGTGTAATGTATAGCTAGAATTTTTATGGCCCAAATTTATTTACTATGGCATAATAAAGATTAAGTCATTAAATTTATGTTATTTAAAATTCAAAAAATTGCAGAATTTTTGGGCCATGTATTTAGACAATCTCATATTCTAGGGTAGCAGTAAATAATTTGATAGAAGCTAATGATATAGTTATAACTGAAATCACTGAAACAAATAATGGACTAAGAGTGACGTTTTACATCAAAGGACAATCTGGATCTCCTTTTGATGCCAATGCAGTAGTGGCAGCTATAAAGGCAAGCTAATAATAGATGAGTTTTGTTTAAGTCAAGTCTAAGGAGTAATAATTTTAATAGAGCTTTTATTCCAATGTACATTACAGCCTAGAAATTGTCTTTTAATATTTTAGGCATATTGAGGCAAAGCCTGAATTCAAACTTGGGGTCAATTACAATTGTAATTGTAATTAGAGGCTCAATTACAATTATTACAACATAATTGTAATTGTAATATAATTGAGGCTTAAGCCTGAACAGAATGTAATTAGAATTTTAATCAAAATTAACTTGCCAACTACAGACTCAATACAGATGCTGGGAATATGTGACAATCAGGACTTCCTAGTACAAGCATAGTGATAAGCTTCTTTTCAGCTCCTGAGGTGTGCTATTTAGCTTGCTCAGTAGAGCTTTATACATGTAGATAACCTTGACCCATATGAAAATTGATAGAAGAGAATTTTCTATTTTTGTGATTTTTTATTCATGTTCTGATGACGTATATGTAGTTTAAAGTGATTCTAATCAAAATTTGAAATTTGAAAGTTAACCAAAAATTTGGCTTGAGACTTCATACAAATAGTTTAGGGTCATTGGCTATACTTTGTCAAAAAACTTATATCGATGAAAAAATTCTCAGTTTAATTTGTTCTGATGCATGTATGTGTATTTATGTTGTATAGAAAGTTTGAGTAGATTCAGATATAAATTAAATTTTTTATTAATTTTATCAATAATTGGAGAAAAGTCTCCATGTACAGCTCCTTGGTCAAATTTTTTCAAAAATGTCAAGGAAACATTCTAAATTTTTATAATTGTTCTGATGCATGCAGTATACATGTGCTTATGTTGTGTATAAAGTTTGAACTCATTTCAATCAAAATTAGATTTTCACAAATTTTTATAGGGTCTTTTGGTAAAATTTTGCCATAAATGTCAAGGAGAGATCTCTCCAGTTTTATAATTTTTCCTGATACTTAACACATATTTGTCATATAGAAAGTTTATGTTCTAATTAAAATTGAATTTTCTAACTATAATTTTTAAGCTGCTCAAAAAATAATACACAATCCTGTACTAAACTTTCTCAAAATGTCTGCAGTAATTTTTTTATGCATTAATAGTTTTTTATGATACAACATGTTCTGATGTAGTGTATCTAATTTGGATTTTTAATGAATTTTTAGATTAATTTGCTCCAACTATTGTGTTTAGCTCATTTTAGCTTGCTTTGTAAAATACCCTGGTAACAATAATGTTATAGCTTCTATGACAGCTGAACTGCAACCAGTACTTAAAGTTCAACAGCTGTCACCATCTACTAAACCAGTAACTTCTCTATTTTAAAGCAAATCCATCTTTCTGTTTTATCTAAAACATAGAATTTGTAATTACAACTATTGAGTCTATATTGTAATTGAGATTTAATAAAATGTAACTGACCCCAGGTCTGGCCCTGATAGTAAAAATTTAATCTGCATTATTATAACACTCTTAAGCCTTGCATCAATAGGTCGGATTGCCCATGCAATTTTTACCATTACGTTGACTGTAATAAGCCTAGCTTTAAATTTTTATGTGTAATTTTCTATTATAGGCAGCTGATTCAAAATATGCTAATGCTGGGTTCACAATTGCTGGTGTTACAATACTAAATTCACCATCATCTACTATTGTGGTGACACCAACTGCTTCAGTAACTCCTACAGATGATGGGCTACCTGTTGTACAAATAACAGGAATAACAAAAGTTGTTGTAATCGGGATCTTAATCATATTGATAATAATAATAATCAGCATTTTATGGTTCATATGGTAAGTTGACCTTCAATTAATAGTATACAGCAATTATATATTGACATTAATAGTGAAAGTGATAAGAAAAAAGCCAAGGTGATAGCTCTGGTGTTATTCTTGAGAAAGAATTGAATAAAGAAGATAAGGAAACTATCCTCTAATGTTACTATTAACCTAATTATTAAACCTGCCGAATGTGCTGAGAATCTAACAATAATAGTTTCATTTCATGTAGTTTGCCATTGTTAGTTTTTTAGGGTATTTTTGCATTCCATAAGTGTGTCAAAAATTATGTAGATATAGCTGCATATGAATTTGCAATAATTTGCTACCCTTCATGCTAATGCAACTTAGACTAACAATAACGACAGCTTTTATTGTAACTTTCAGTCTAGGTAAAATAAATGTTTCACAGTTTATATAACAAACAGATTCAGTTTCTATACTATGCATTTTTTGTTGGATTACAAAAACTGAATCTTTTCAGTATGATAAACTATCAAAATAGTTTTAAAGGTTTATCTAGCATAGATATAAAAGTTGCATTAAAAACTGTCATAATTGATTTTGTTTCACGTAATTTTAGTATAAAAGTGTTCAGTTAGTCATAGTTAAAGAGTTACATGTCTAGTGGTGATGAGGTTCTTAATACTCTTTACTTTTTTATCCTTGCTACCAGTTACCATTATCAGCTTTCATCAGGTAAATATTACTAAAGATGGTGAACGAGAGCATTTTCTTTGCAGTGGTCAACCACTGATTCAAGACACTATCGCTGTACTATCTACAAATCTCACCCATAACATTGCCTCTAATATATCATTTTGTCTGATCAACGCATCATATTCTCTTGCACTAGTCAGTGATTCCTCTTTGAATGCTTGTGTTATATAGTGTGAGAAATCTTCTGGTGTATTAGCATTCACTAACATGCCCAGTTTGACTTTACAAAGGTTAATTTTGAAAGGTTGTGGTGGACATTTGAGAGGTTTGGATGCAACTGTGCCCATTAATTTCACTGATTCTGGAGTTTACTTCACTCAATACCAGTCAGCTGTTTTTATGTTTCTAAACATTAATGTACTATCAATGGATGGGGTACAAATTGCTCAATATTATGGTTTTGCTATACTAGCCATTAACCCATTGAGTGCATTTATAAAAGGCATCACAGTATGTCTGTCCACAACAAAAGAAAATATTGGTTCTGGAATTTTCCTGCTTTTCACTGACAGTAGTAAACATTTAGAGCAATTGGAGACATCAAGTTATCCCATTAATGTTACAATACAAGATGCTGTAATGTTTAATAATACAGCCAACATCAGTAAACCTTGCTGCCTCTCGTACTTGAAAGAAAGCAATGCAGGACCGCTACCAATTATACATGGAAGTGGCATAACAGTTTACTATACTCAGCAGCAGTTCACACTTCACAGTCAACCTACTAGTTGATGGTCAGTCAGCCTTTATTCACAATAGTGGCTCCTTAGCTGGTGCAATCATGATATTTCATTATAACGATGATAAATCGAACAGTTCCACAATAATTTCAAATGCAAATTTTCATAACAATTATAATCTCAACTACTGCACTTTTGTGGGGGCTTCTGTTTCCTTTGTAGAATATTTTTCTGAGCAACACATTTTATCATTGAGTCAATTTGAATTTGAGCCTCTTTCATTGATTAATTGTCAATTTGTAGGTCATGGAAGACGACATGTAAAAATCTACAGTATCGTTAATATTGTTTCAATCAATCCCCAAAATTCTTTCAAAATAACCTTTGATAATGTTTCCTTTATAGGAAATGTTGCCACATGTTTGTTTGCAACTGCATACAAGGAAAGCAAGCTGATTCAGCTAGTATTCAAAAATACAGTGGCTCAGTTTCAGTATCATGGTGCTGAAAATCTTGGTTTACTTGTTGTATCAAATGTTCATAAATTATTTTTGATTGAATGCAACAATTTTTCGAGTAACATAGGTGGAGTATTTAATGTTACAAATACCATAGTAGTGTTGCAAGGTAATTTAGTCTTCACAAAGAATGAAGGAGAAGAAGGAGCTGTTTTTAGCCTCCATGGTAAAAGTAGGTTCCAACTTTACGATGGACTAAGAGCAACCTTTTTCCAGTAATACAGATACAATAAATGGAGCAATATTTACACTTGATTCTGACTGTTTGCATAATTGCAAATGTATGTTTCAAGCTTTGTAGTTTCAAATTTACATGGAGTATACCATTTTTGTAATAATTAGAATGTCATGAAAAACTATCAGTTATTGTTCATTGTGGTGAACAAAACTCTGGATGCTATATTTCCATGGAGATGTTGGTAGCATTATCTGTATGCTTTTGGTATAATTTGTTTTAATTATTCATTTAGGTTTCCAAAGTCACATAACAGACATTATCCTAAGTGTGTTACATTGAATATAATTAATTGTATAGTACCACTATTGATGCAGGTATGTGTATACTTAATAAAATAATTTTTCATGAAATGATTTATTATGCTACTATTGTTCAGAAAATTCAAGAAATGCGAAGAACTAGTCAATTGTGTCTATGATTCAGACTGGTCAATATTTTGTAATGGACATTATAGATCTTTTTTGGCGGAGTGATTGTTGGCTATGAAGGCGTTGTCAATGGCTACAGCTGTATGTGTTGCTCATTTTTGATCATGTAAAGAAATGTAATGTGAGTTAATTAACACTTCTAGAATAATACATAAATAGTATTTTTAAATTAGAAGCAATCTTTTTGTAAATAGAATATTGGAAATTGGTGTTAAGCTGTTGATTATTTTCTTCAAAATGGGTATGAAACATGTTTCTTTGCTCAACCTTTTTTATACAGAAAGTGTTGTTGTGGCTGATTCTATTTGAATGAAATCATCCCTGTCTTATGCTAGTTGTGCAGTAGATTTAAAGTAAAGAATCGGCAAAACTGTAGCTATGTTTAGTCCACTTTTTTCGTCTTCATCATTATCATCTCCTGTGAATCTAGTTGTCACAATATACGATGTAAGTTATACTGACTCATTAGTGACATCTATTGTTAATAACATTAGTAATAAAATTATGTTATTCCTTACAATAACTTGGAATTTTTTAATTCAGTTTAGAGAATACATACAGTACTTACAATGTATGTTGGATATAGCTCAATTCAATGTAAGCAAGTGTCATCACCACAGCAGAACAATGGTGTTTATTGTGGCATACCTTAATTGTAGCTAGAAATTTCTGTCGCCCAAATGTCTTGGAATTTTCATAAAATTGGCTTTTGCTGATTTTATTTTAGCAAAATCACCATGCCTTTTAATGCATAACAATTTTAAAGGTAAAATCTCCACAATTTTCAAAATCTGCGAATTTGCAGAAATTTTGGGCCACAGAAATTTCCATAGCATTTGTAATCAAAGTTTCATTTTTAAATTAATTCTTTTCTCTGTTAAACAGATAACATTTCCCATGGCACTACCAGTATAGTCCCAGGTCAATAAAAACTATTTTTGCTATATAAAATTTTTTGTTTTCTGTAGAATGACATTCCTGGCCAATTATTTTTGAGATGAAAATAGGCTTCAATGTTCTTCGTAAACAATAATGTAAAGTATGTGTACTTTTTACATTTTTTATCAATATTGCTTATTCCTTGTAGACTTAACAGAGTAACCTGAGAGCAAAAGTGTGGTCAAACAAGCATTTCTTTATGTTTGAGCTGTTTTTCATACTATTGTTTGATTTTTAAACATAAAATTGAAGTACAATTGAGTCAGTACTGCGCATGCGCAGATTACGCCCATGCAAATAATTGGATCCATTCCTGTCTCTTAAGGTGAGCATCCACTATGTAGTTTTTTACCAGTACCTTTGATGAGGCTGTGCAACATGTTGCATGAGGTTGAGAGTCTCTCTACTTCATGCAACATGCTACACAACCACATCAAAGGGTTAACCACAAGTTGCAAGCAACAATGCTGCATAGTGGATGCCCACCTTAACGGCATATAGCATGCTTAGTTGCCACATACTGAAATACCTCAAAACTGATATTCTGTTTATCTTTTTTAAAAAGTAAAATCTAGTGCTTTTAGTCCGTATTTCAGTCCGTTCCGTGTTATAGTCATGTCCTGCATGAAACTATACGACTAACTTCGAAACAGACTACAAATAGATTAAAGCAAGAGTAGATAATGATTAGAGGAGATAGGGTCTGCTTCATCACCGCGTAGGCGCGTAGAATTGAAAAGTCACATTCAGGCTATTTCCGTATTTTTTTTAGTTATTGCTATTTATTTTTGAATAACTAACTCAAAAATACTGAAAATAAGCGGACTACTATTCGGTGATCATGGTGATGAAGCAGGTGGGTATTGCACAGTAAGACGCTCTCCTCTACTGTTGCTATACAAGACTGGATGCCATGAAGTGTCTTGTGTGCTTTATTCTTGTTTTCTCATTATCAGTTGCTCAAGATTGTCCTCTACCAGCCAATGCTGATATATGGAATGCATTGGCTACCTTACTACTTGATGCTGATGGTAGTCAGTCATATTCTCCTAAGATAACAGGATCAGTTCAATATGTCTGTCAAGCTCAAGGGAACATGATTAATACTTATACAGAAATTTCTCTTATTGCTACATACACTCCTAACCCAGGAGAAGCAGAAACTACTAGGATATTGTCAATGGGATGTAGCAGTGGTACATGGAGTGGAATTACTCAAGATGGACTGAGTCCTCCTCCTGCCAGTGTTATTGGTGTTTCTCTAAGAACCAATTGTTTTCAATGTCGGGAAGGTTTTAGTCGTGAAACTAGATGTAGAGGTAATAATAAAAAATCTAACAGTAATAATAATAATTGCCTTCCTATCCCATCTGTTTTGGATGGCCAGTGCTGACTTTCTTTCTTGTCCTTTGTTTTATCTTTTGTCTTTTTATGTTTTTTTCCTCTTATTTCTTGTTTTGTCCTTAGTGTATTTTATGTGTGTTGTGTTGTATAACTATGATCATGTAATAATAATAATAATTGTTAACCTGATTTAGAGTGTGACAGTGCTTGTAATTCTGGACTGATGAGGTGTACTGGATCAGGTTCTGGTGATTGTTGTTTATCATTTGCTGCTAATGGTCAGTGCAGTAATGACCTATCCTGTTTATCATCAGGTCCTAACTATGTTGCTACTGAGAGTACTAACTTCACTTGCAGTATGTGAATCATAATTATATGTATTTTTTATCATTCTTATTGTTGTTATATAGCTTGCAATCTAACCTGTTCTGTCGGTTATTCTGTTAATTCCAATTGTACTGACTGTTATTTGGCTAGTATCTGTGATGCAGACAGTCCATGTATGAATGGAGGACAGTGTATACAGTATTCACCTCCTGATAATTATACTTGTAACTGTACTGGTACTGGATTCCAGGGAGTCAACTGTACTGGTGAGTAAATTACATGTATAAAATACATTGGCTAATTTGGCTTCAGTCATACAATAAAATAACTAAACATTTCTATATTTATTACGACTATTATGCTTGCATACCCTTCTCAATTTATTTTATGTGTCACATGCACTTGTTGTTCATACTACCGTATACGTCCAAATTTTCGAGGGTTCAAAATTTCGTGTTTTCAATGAAATTTGCTCAAAAGTTAATATTCGTGTGAGCTAATTTTCGTGTTCTGGCCATAGTCTACATACAATAGAATGGCATTAGAGGTGGTTTAAATTTCGTGGATTTAAGGTGAGCACGAAAATAACGAAATTTAATACACCTCGAAAATTAAGACGCGTACGGTATATTGTACTTTATTGTATAATTACTATTACTCCTCAGTTTCAGATCTTGTCACTGATGGTTCATGCCCTGCAAATATATCATTTCTCTTTGTAATTCGTGATTTAACCATCAATGTGCCATTGACAGAACCAGTTTGTATTCGATGCAGATTTTTTAGTAATCAAGGTGTTTTTATTTCCTTCTCTGATGGTATATGGAGGAAGGGTAGTACTGTACTAAGTGATGGTGACTTTAGTGGAAATGTCATAATATCAAGTACTTCTACTACATTGTTTCTTACTCTTGTGCATCCTGCTACTGTTGTTGATGTTGGTGACACACTGACATGCTCATCATCATCAGCTGATCAGAATTCTATTGTTACTATTGGAGCTTTTAGTGAGTTTATCATTTAATTACTTTGTATTTAATCAATTCTGTTTCATAGACTTTTAAACCCAAGAGTATCTCCTAAT